CAGTGCAGTTGCTAAATCTGTTAAGGGAATATACATCCTACTGCTGACAATAAAGGAAGTGCTAAATGCAGTTAGGCTTCTTTATTATTTATTTGTTTCTCCCTAATTACACTTATTTCTATACAACACTGATGGCAGTCCATCAGCATTTGTTCATTCACTAGAGCATTTCAAGATGCCAAGTCAGGCTTAAAAATAGACTCCTATGTGTTATAGAACTCAGTTTGGGTATGATTTCTTGCACAGTATGAATGGTTATATGGATGAATTTGTCTTACAGCTCTCCAGCTTGCTCTTAAGTTTCCCAACCCATCTAAAGCTGCATCTGTAATCATGCAGTCGATTGCAACAGGCTGTTTAGTTTAGGGGATAATCTGTTTATACAGTTCAGCATGCCAGGCCAACTTCCATGTGCATGCAGGATGAGAAATGATGCATACTGACCCAAAGCTCTGTTTAGCTCCTTCTGTTTGGCTCCTTTTCATTCACAGGCTTATGGACAACAATACTCCAGTTTGAGCTCTGACCCTAGAAAGGCAAAACTCCAGCTTTCAGCAAGGCAGAATCTCACAGCTGGATTAAGAACACATTAAGGCCATTTTGGGGGGTCAAGAAGAGGTTAAACTGCCTGCCCAAGATACAGCCACAACTAAGCAGCTCCACCACCGGTGTGGTCACTGTGCTGTGACCTACATTTAATTAAGAGCTGCTTCTGCAGGGACAAAGATGCTCCTGAAGTGAGGGTCCTGCCCTTTCACTGCTGAGAGGGCAGTGGTGCTATGTCAGAAAACAGCTTTATCCCAAATTTCAGACTCCTCTCCTCTTAGCAGCTGTCAAGTGTCAAGAAGGGCCATAAAGAAGTTGTCTCCATTAGTGAGATAGCAGCCTATGTAGTCTGTAGAAAGGATGACAAACCTCAAGCTGGGAATAGGATACTTATGCAGTGACATTTGGAAGTAATAATTATGTATATTTCCAGATTTGGGGAATAATTCTTCTTCCAGGCTAAGAAGAACCCTAGTCAAGTTCCCAAGTTTCAAAGACAAGGCAATACACAAGCTCTCCTCTCTGCGATGAGGCTGAAATCCCTTCTATTATCTTACCACTCATTTCAGGGCTGGAGAGTCAGACTCAGCATATGATGGCTAAGACCTGTACAACTCCATGAATTACACTTCCCAGAACATCCCACTTGCCTGGATCCATCTCCTGCCTCTCCAAGGGCTGCTGTTCCTCTGTTAACTGCCACTTTGCAACCACAGGAGCAGGATATTTTAAGGTAACTACTGCAGATGCATTTACATTGCTTGATTTCAGATTGATGGACCTATATTCCAATCCATTTAAAAACTCCAAACAGCTGTCACTTCAAATTAACCCAATCAAAAAGTTGATAAAAATCCTAATGCTGCCAAGAAAACATCTTGTGCCTTCTGTCTTCCGTAATGATTACTACTAATTCAGAAAGCCCATTTTCCCCTCGCTTAGAGTGATTACCTACATGGTAAATACCATTCCACCAAGTTGTAGAGCTTAGAGAGCAAGGAGCTAAGTGATAGACCCTTAAATGTGGTTGTCACTCAGTTGCCGCAGAGCCTGCACCCTCAGAACTCAGGTACATTGAGACCCAACATGGTGATAGGAATCACTACCTGATCAAGCGGCTTCTAGCAAGCTGAAGAGCCCAGCAGCCTTCTAGTATTGTCCCATCCCTCCAATATGTTTACCTTGCCAGATTGTTGCTTCTTCTAAATTTGGTCTAACACAGGTTAGTCAAAACAAGAGCATCTCTTCACAGCAGCACTGAATTCGACAGCCACTGGTTTCATGATCAAGTGGTTGTATCCTTCATATGCTTAACTCAAGTCAGAACAAGAAGAAAAATCAAGAGCTCAGACTCCTATATTCTTGTATATGGTGCTCCTGGGCAGCTAGGCTGTGACCAAGCCTTTGCTGCTTGTGATTTATGATGGAGGAATATTCCTTACTGGATGAGCACATGCTCAATGTATTCTTGGGAAACCACTGAACCACTGTGTTCCAATGTCAAATGGTAATAAAACCAAAGAGGAATCCTAAAATCCCCGTGATGGACATAAATGCACTCTGTGTTCCAGCAGCAGTAACACATCCAGCAGAAACCCCACAGCGTCCTACTATTGAGCTCTAAAATGTAACTGAGTTTAGGACTGCAGTGCTTGAATGCATGAAATCAAGCTGGAGGCATTGCCATTTCTGTCAGGCTAGAGCCTACCAGTGCCTGCTCACTCCTGCTCAAGTGTCACAACTTGCTTTAGTACAAGAGATGATACACATGATTTACACCAGAGCCAGGGTGGCACTTGCCCTATGAAAGCTGCAGTGAGTTCTCTGGAGAGCTGCACATCCAACCAGTATCACCTTGATAACGGGCAACCACCACTTGCAGCAATAGAAACATCTTCTCAGGTAGCCCCTAAAGTGACAGGGGATTACATGAACTGACAGTGCTTTATTTTGCTTTTCCCAAACTACAGTTATTACCATCCAGTACAAAATGCAAGGCAATTCATGAATGATTGATGGCTCTAGTAAGCTTTACAGAGCAAAACACCCAACTGAATTATGCCAGTGATTTTAAAAGAAAGACCAAAGAGAATGCCTACAAATACAGTGATCCCTCTGAGTCACTAACATTGGAAATCATTCCATAGCCTGCAGAGTCCCAGATCCTAATGAAAAATAGGAATTATTCAGCACAAACACATCTATCACTGACTCTGTTGCAGAATTGCTCCTGTGTCATGCCCAGAGATGACAGTTCTTGTTCATAAGCAGCATCTGAAAATGATCCTGCAGGAAGAGCCTCTCAGCAGGAAGAGCAGCAGGGAACAGAGAGAAGTATGAAGCAATTAGGCAGGGCTGTGAATATGCACCATAACACACAGCTTTGGATTCCACGTACCTGGAAGTGACAGCTTCAGGGAAGGAGGCTGAGGAAGCGGCTGCTCTTCTCAGCGCTGTCACAGCGAAGGAAGTTCATTGCATCTCTTTGAAGTCATTCATTCACTGTTCAGAGCAAAACTGCTGCAGCAGAGGTGGAAACAGGCATGATACAGAAGATTCTGCTATCAGGTAGAAAACACTCTTGTGATAAGAAAGATTGGGCTGTACTCGCCCAGAATCAAAACTTGAAGTTAACAAAATAAGCTAAGCTGACAGTCTTAAAGCAATAGGAAGTTCACGATCTACTCCAACCAGGCCAGAATGGTACCAACGGTTCTATTTTGGTGCAGTAAAATCAGCCATGCTTTTTACAAGAGGCAAAACCAACAGTAAAGCTGCATGTTGTCACGCAGAAGAGGGACATAGGATCTTTGCAGATAAAAGAAAGGTTACAGAGTATGCAGAAGCGGCTGCAGCAAGAAAGGAGACACCAAGGAAGACAGATTGCACAGAGGGGGTAATAACAACCAGTAGTCAAAGGATTGGGAAGCACAAACGGTGCTGAGGGAAGAGAGGAAAGAGCCAGCTCGCTGTTCTAGATAATATTAAAGGTAGAGGAAGAACAAAGGGAGGGAAGCACAGCTAGTGAGCAGACATTAAAGAGGTGGGACCTGCACTGTGAATGGCCTCCCGAGGACAGCACCGCTATCTTGGACTTTCAGTTGCCAACTTTCACATCCTTCTGATGCTTCGCCCACTTCATCTGCTGCCATTGAAACTGAATCTGAAGAAAGAGATTAAAACTCTAATGGGGAATGCATTGGTGAAAGGACCACTAGAAACAGTCGGATGGGAGGAGCCCAGAAACACAAAGGCTCCCAATTAACTGAGCACAAGAGTAATTGCCAGAACAAAGGCACAAAGGAGCCCGGATGCCTTCCCCCTTCTCTAGCAAACCAAATGAAAGCTGGCTTAGGAGAAATAATGACACAACTGCCAAGCACCTCTGGGAAGGAGAGTTGGTAGGGTGAATAGCGCTTCAAAAGGTAAAATGAAAGGGCTGTCATTCCCAAAGCAGAGAAAAACTGACTTTGAGGTCAGTGTGGAAACAAGGGGAGAATATGGTGACAAAGCTTTTAAAGCTAACTGATCAGTTATCATCGAACACCAAGCTCGCCTTTCCATCTCACATTGTTTGCAGGAAAGAGCTTCTTTCCGCTTAACTAATCTACAAACACTGAGCATCAAAAGTGGTCGGTCACTGTGAGCTCCGGCCTCAGTTCAGGATGGGTTCAGAGGCAGCGCAGGGCACCCAGTTACACAGCACTGCTCGAACAACACAGCGGCTTGACTGAAACAGCTCAACGAATGGTTGAAGTCTCCTGCAGTGACTGGTTAGTGAAGGCATCCCCAGACACCTCAGAAAGCCCTGGGATGCCTCTTCCCCGTATTTTTTAGCGTTTCTAACTGAAAGCATCCCATTCCAGCTCAAGAAAGCAGGGCTTTGCAGGCACCATTTAAAGCAACAGACACATACTTAGCTGCTAATTCAACGACTCCTCACCCGTAACTGCCCTTTAAAGAACAAGCACTTCATGTAGTTTATATACAGTTGTTAAAGAGATTGCTCTGAGCAGCAGCTGCATGCGGCTAAGCTCTGTTTTGTGTGATGAGGGGAAGCATTAACCAGCAGCTGGTATGGAAGGGACCGGATCTGTGTGTGCAGTTAAGAAGTTGTCTTTTTTTCTGTTGGAAACTCATTATTTTAGTGCATGGGGGGGTTGCAAGCCTTAGTTGGACTTTTAAGAGTTTTACTGCTTGCTTGAGGCATCTGGGGTAGTGTGAGGGGGTAAAAGCTTCTACTGAAGTAGTTCTGAGCTGGTAGGATTGGCTGTGATGAGCTGGCTTGCCCTATAGAGGAGAGCAAAGGGGGAGTATGCAAAACAGGAGAGTGTCTTAGAAGTAAGAATGTATTGATTTGATTGCGATATTTGCTGGTAGTTCTGTGGGTGGTGTGTATCTTTGTGTGTGTGGCTCTGCCTTGCTGAGCTCTCTAACGTGTCTGCTTTTGTTTCAGATGGAAGTAGGGCTCCTCTTTGTGAAAAAGGGAGGTCTGGGTTGTTTGAAGACTGGACAGGGTCAAGTGAGCAAGCAGGTAGGCAGGCAGATGGCTCATAGAAATATGTCCTGTGGCTGTGGAGTGATGCTAAGAATGAGCAGTTTGAAGTCAGGCAGGAGAGTGGAAGACAGGAGGCTCTTCTTGTCCAGGAGAGAAAACAAGTTCCCTGTTGCTGGTTAAGTTGTACTGGGCAAAAGTCAGTATATTCAGTTTAAGTGTAAGCATGAGAGCACTGTTCAAGGATTGGAAGCTCAAGTGTGACTAACTTTAGCTGAGGCATGAAGTGAAGATACTAAAACTGGTAAATGCCAAGATATGGCTGGTGAAAAAGTATGTTCCAAGTGTTATTAGAGACAGCTCTGCTCAGACCTTGAGCCTTGCAGTTCTGTGAACTCAATGTGCCTGCTGAATTCTGGCTTTAGCTTCCACCTGTGTGCAGGGTGAGGAGTAAAAAGTGCAAGGTGCTTGATTTTAGCTCTTCAACTTACAGGTTTATGGAGTCCCTGTGTGAAACTGCTGATGAAGTGGACTTGCTGTGTGTGCTCTTAACACAGATAGGCCTGGAACGGAGATCAAAGGTTTCGCCATGACAGTAACTCTTCCTCTTCTTCATGTGAGCCATAATTGAGGCTTATTTGGTGAAATGAGTTTAAAGACTCTTTTGTTCTGATTTGCAAACATACATTGAAATAAATCCTGTGTACCTGTCAGGAACTTAATCCTTCCCTAAGCCACAAGTATTTGTGCTAAGCAACCAGCCTATGTGCAGATAAAGCGTTATGCAGTGTAAGCAGTTACTCTGCTGGAGAAGGGGAGACTGACATCTCAAAAATGGACTTTAGATTGAATTACCATATGCTAAAGCCAGCCATAGATCAGGGTGCAAAATCAATACAGCTTGTAGGACAAAAAGCCAGTACTGATGTGCAGTTCTAGCCAGCCAGGAAAATCAAATTTCATCTCAAAGAAGAGTTGCTTGTGCCTAAATAGGCAAATGTATAGAAATCTGTGAAATACTGCCTGGTTTTTATGAGGTAGAAACTACTCCAAGTGGAAAGCGTCCTGTCATCTAGAAGGGACTGCAAAGTGCACTAAAATAACAGGCTTGGATAGATGAAGCTCTTGTGTAACTGAGAGAGCACTTTGTGCCAAGTAAGTGAGCTCTGTGCTGATTTGTGCCCCCTCTTTTGCAGCTTTCACCGCAGGCTGTGAGGTTGCTTTGGCTGTTGGTCAGAAATGATACCCTGCAGCTTCCAGATCACCTTTCTGCAGATGTAAACTGTGCACTGACTGCTCTGCTCCCCAGAAATACAGTGAAATTACCCAGCTTCCTGTCAGAAGGGGTTTGGGTTGGAGCAGTGACTAAGAACAGGATTCCTGACAAGCCACAGGTGAAAGGTTTTGCCCATGGTACATTGCTGCTCTGGTTCTTGGGCCTATTTGTATTTACTTAAAAGCAACTTGCCATGCATGCAGCTCCGTTTTCAGTCTTAGTCTGCTCCAGTGTGGGCAATGTGACAGAGCTCCTTTCCTTAGGACTTGGGAGGCTGAGTTTGGTGGAGTCACTCTTCCCTCTCAATCCTTGCTTCTTTTCTTGTGAGCACTGAGCCGAGTGTTCCATGTAAATCTAGTGAAAAACCAGTGAGGCTCTTCTTATTTCTAACTCCCTTGACTCTCCCTATTGTCCATAGAAGTTATAAGTTGGGAAGCTTCCAAACGCTTGGCTTAACAATGTATTCTGTGTGGGTGACAAGCTTATGCCCTTGCTTTTCAGTTTCCAGTTTGAATACAGATTAGTCACTTGTGCAGAGCCTTTAATGAAGTCCTGGTCCTGTAGGGAATTTGGGAGGCATGCTGCATGTGATTTCGGCTATCCCTGCTGGAACTGCAACAAAGATGTCAAGGTCTTTGTGGAGGTCCATAGAGGAGGCTGAAATGGCTGGTGGAAGGACCTTTTCCTTTAAGGCTGCTTTCTTGCAGAGAGGGAGTTTGGGATTTGTCACAAATGGAGATCCTGGTGCATCTCTGCAGCCTTTTCTGGGATGTAGAAACCTTGTCTTAATTCATGCTCCTTGTTCTTTGTGCTTGCAGAGACAAGGACCCATGTGCCAAGGAAGCTTGCAAGCCTGAGTGCTAGGGACGTTGGAACTCTTTTGTAGGTCATGACAACTGTTTCCTTGCTGTTAGTAGCTGTAATTATGACTGTCGTACTACAATGGCAGGTAGGTAACAGCCCCTAAGTTAAGGCTCAGCTATAGGAATCGAGTAAAACATGAGAAATACCTATAGAAGCCTCCAAATAAGACTCCAGAGGGAATCTTCAGTTTCTTTCTTGGCCTTTCAGAAGCCCCTTAGGAAGCAGAATTTAGGTACTTGATTTTAGGAGCCAGATTTTGATTTTTGTAGCCCTTTAAGCAATAATCAAAGCGTGCTCATGTTGCAGAACAGCAGCTGCGGATGGAACTGTTGAGATGAATGTTGCGTGCAAGTGTGGCACTTACTGACGGGTTTTAATTGCCTTTTGAAGGACAGTAAAGGTGGGGACCTGCATTTTCTCCTTCAGGGCACTTCATGAATAAATGCACATAACTCTCGAGGCTCTATACCTTAAGCAGCCACAGCTTCAGTAAATGCATTGTATACTTTGTTCATCTGTGAATAGTAATTGAGTCCTGGACTGCATTTGTAGTGCTGAGAGTAATACAACTACCATGATGTATAATAATGCTTAAGAGCTCCAGGGAGGCTCATTTACATGATAGTGAGGGAAATGGTCTTGCCAGGAATAAGAATTAAGAGGCTGGTATTGTGTGAATTATAAAGTGGTTTTCAGGTGGGGAAGGGTATATGGGAAAAGGGTGAATAATGGCATTGAAAATCGTTGTTAGGAAGATGGGTTGGCTTTTATTTCCCCTTTGACTGACTTGGAATAAGGAGGGATCTATTCCTCTATAGTCTTTGGAGAGCTGGGTGCTGCTTCTGGCTCTGCAAATCCCGACCATCGAGTCCTACTGAAGGGAAGTGTAACTCCAGTGGGAAATGCAGGCTGTTTGCAAGGCTCCCTGTGGTCACATGAAACTCTAAAACTCCAGGATCTTCTCCTGCAGAACCTGCCCTCACCCAGCTTTCACCTGCTGAAAGATGAGTTCAGTCACTGCTGGCCTGAGTTGGAGGGGCTTCATTAGTGGCATAGTCCTTCGGGTGGCAGTGTTGCCTCTTCTGTACTGGGGTGCAAACCCTTTCTAGGGACCCTTTGTGTCCTGTTTGAGTTCTAAACGCTCTGTGAACTCTTTTGTTTCGATAAAGAAGTGTGAAACTTGGGTAGTTAAACCTTCCCAAAGGTAAAGTTGTGTGGGGCTCCCTGTTTAGTCCTCGTTTTAGCGTAAGAGTGCCACAGGAAGGTTTCATGGCTTGCAGGCTATGGGATGGAGGAAAAACTTGGCTGGAGAAGAACTTGGTGAATTGAAGCGCCAGTGTGAGAAGCTCTCTGAGGAGTTGAAATTTGGGAATCTAAAGGTAGCTATTTGCTCATGCTGATTTTTTCCAAATGGCCCTGAAGAGACAAGCCCCTACAGGGAATGATTTGCACCAGTCCTGCTTCAGCTTCAGTCTCTGACTGCAGAGTTTGGCTTCCTTAGCTGCAGTTAGCCCCTGTGAATGCTCCCAGAGGGCTGCTGAGTGGCTCTGAGCCTCTGGTCCATCATATTCATAAAACAGACTGAGATTCTGGGTAAGAGATGCTACTGGAAAGCTAAGTATTACTATTGCCATAAAGCTGATGTTAGCACATCTGTGTGTGAGGGGAATGTGCTCTGAGAGCATAAAGTGACTTTGCCACCCTTACAAGATTGCAGCTTTTACAGCTGCACTCCCTGTGTTTATAAAACATATAGGGCCAGCACCAGCATCATCTTGAGCTATGACTTGTCCCAGCCAGCAGCTGGAAGCTGCTGTAGTGATCCAGTGAATTAGGGTGAGCACAGAGGTAGGAATTGCCATCTGGCCTGGCAAGTGGCTGATTCGGAGGTGGATGTGGGTATATTATGATGCCAGAACACCATGTGCTTTAATCGGGCTGCTTGCCCGCAGGCATTTAAACCTTTCGTTTACAAGTTGTGGGGCAAAGCAGTAACTGAGAAACCAGGCAGACACTCAGAGATGCTCTAGGAATCCCCAAGTGGCTTCAAACCCCAGAAGAGCAGGGGCAGACCTGATCTGAGACCTGCTTCTCTGTGCAGGTTTTGTTTCAGCTGTGAAGATGATCAAATATAATGAGGTTCAGCAGCTCAACGATGGGCTGCTTCGAGTGAGGGGTCACTTCCTAACGCCTGCTGTCACAAAAGCTCTTCATGCTGTTGCTGTCCCCGCTGACTGCAAGGGGGGGAAGCAGCAGGCTCACAGCTTGTGAAGGTGCTCAGCTCTGCAGAGGCTGTACCCAGCAGGGAGGCAGGGATGCAGCCACACGTGCAAATGCCCGAGCAGCTTAGAGACACGTGAAGCATTTGTCACTCCTTGCAGCCATCCATGTCACTCCCAACAGGTTTATATCCTTGCCATCCTTTTCATGCCAGGAATAAATAGGTGGAGACAAGTGAGGGCAGCTTCCTTGTCTTTTCAGAAAGCATTGTGGGGTGGGAGGAGGAAAGGCATCTTTGATCCTGGCTGTATCTGCTGCCTGGTGTGAGCTGGTACCCCAAGGTAACTGTTCTGCTCTTGGGGCTGCTAGCAAAAGTGCAGCAGGCTATAATAAGACCTTCCCCTCATCCCTGGGAGCTGAATGCTGGTGAGGCCCTACCTGAGCTGGTCCTGGTGCATCCTGTGCCACAAGCTAATGCCTCCGGTGCTGCCTGCAAAGGGCAGCAAACAGCCTCCTTGGGAAAAGGAGATGGGGATGTGGAAGGTCAGTCAGGCACTGCCGAGATGAATGAAACAACCCAGGCAATGGTAGGTCTCTAAACTTGGGTTACCATGTGTCTAGGCTAAAATGGTGCTGTCCCCACATCAGCTTTGTACTGGTGTGAGTTGGGATGCTGATGTGACGATGGGGCAGGACTGATGATGCTGGGTGCCTTCCAGCTGAAACAACTACACTATTGCATCTGAACACCTCTCCAGCTGAGAGCCTGCCAGCCCTGTACCTCTCTTCAGGATTTATGGATACTTGGAGTTGGCTGGGAGACCTTGTGCTGCTCTGGCAGCCAGCCCTGCCATAGGCTGCAGGTGCCAGGCTGGCACAGAGCTTGTGCCTGAGGGAATGGGGGTTTAAAATCCAATCTCCTCCAGCTGACAAGTGCCTGCTTAAGCCAATTGCTTTACAAGGACCAGCGGGCATCCCCATTGCCTTCCCTCTGTACTGTGCTAATGGGGTTGTACAAACATCCCCTCATTTGCAAGAGCTGTTTTCCTACTTGGGTTCTCTCTCTTCAGCTCCTTGTTTTCATTCTTCTTCTCTGCAACTGTAATATGCTGGGATTTAGATCCCTTTGGACCTGAGTGCATGAGACCTAAATTCTTCCCGGGATTTCCATGAGGTGAAGCTGGGTAGCAGTTACATTGACATTAGCATGGCCTGTTCTTTGTTTTAACTAATTTATGGTTAAGGCCAGTAGTAAATTGGACCCCTGTGCTCCAGGAATATGGAATATACAGGTGTGATGTGTACGATGAGGCTCAGAAACGGTGGCAAACGTGGCTGGTGTGCAACTCGAGTGGGTCGGTACTTGCATGGATGCTGAATGTTCCTTCTCTGCTGTGCTGGAGCAGACCTGGCTTGAGCCAAAGCTCCTCTTTAAGGCCTTGCGTGTCCCTAGGTTGTGGGCAGTAGTTTTGCAGGGAATAGCCAGTTTTGCCTACTACATGCTGAAACACCTTCTGCCCCAATGGTGTAAGGACAGGGAATGCCAGTCTCCTTGTTAGCTGGGTCACGAGTAGCTTCTAGACAGAACTGAAAACCTGCAGACGCTGCACCTTCATTCTTATGCACGCAAACCTGTCTTTCCTGCTGCTCCACACTGAATGGTCCAGTGAGCAGGACAGCAGCATCCCAGGAAGAAGGCAGAGTCATCCCAGCCCTCTGTTCTGTATGCTCTGATGAAGTGTTTCTGTCACTAGAGAGGACAAGGGCTCTTGTCCCAGTCTCCTGCTCTCTCAGCATCATGCTTTGAGTTTTCCAGCAGAGCTGCCTAATGTGCTCCTTGGACCTTGAAGGATTTGTTCCATGTCAGATGCAAGAATAAGCACAAGCTATGCCTTAGACTTCCCGAAGGATTCTCACAGGGATGATGGTGAAAAGCAGCTCAAGGTAGGTTGGTGTCCCTGCTTTGCATGCCGGAGGGATATAGCCCTTGTCATGGAGTTCCTGCTGGGATAACAGTGTTTCCAGGCAGATCAGACGATCTCCTCTTCAGTCTTTCAGCGTCAGTGGTAGTAATGCTGCTGTTTGAGATCAGAACAACAGAAATGGCCAACGCTGTGGAGGTGAAAAGATTGAAGATCGTCTGTAGCAGTTCCTGTAACTTCTGTTGTTCTATGGAGGAGGAGGAATCATTGCTCAGTACTGGCAGTGGTGCAGAGGCATGAAAAGGAATTAACCTGAGTGCTTTATTGTGCTGATCTTCATCCAAGCACCCAGCCAAAGGTGGCTTAGGAATATGTCTGTTTCTAACTGAGGAACCAAAGGGACATTACACTCCTAGATCTCTGGGGAGGAGAAGGTTTGAAGTGAGTGTGAGGACTAACCTGCTATGTAAGAACAAGTTGGCCTCATGTAGTACCCCGCAGGAGGGCTCTGCATGGGGAAGGGCTTGTTTAGGAGCTGCAGGTCTGATGCTATGGCAGGTCTCTTGTCTTCACTCCTCAAATGATGCACAAACGCCTCCCACACTGATCTAAGCACAGGCTCATGCATGGTTTTTG